AGCCATGCTACGAATTTATCTAGTGTGATTGGACGTTGAAGCATTAGCTCATCTGTTTTTTCTATATTCTCCTACACAGGCAAATTACCTGCTTCAGATTTTCATTTTTCTGTAACAAGAAAGTTTTTCAGCTTTCTAAACAATTGATCTTCATATCAAAACACTTTCTGGTTCCATATCATGAAGAAGCAACTTATCTTGCTAATTGTAGAGATCTTGGCATAAAAGGTCATCAAAACGTACCAACAGTAACAATTTCCACATATGGTGACAAACTGATGTAGGAGAACTATGGGAATTGTACATATTAAGGAATTTTCAAAAGGTAAAAAGTTTTAACTTGCTGAATAGGAAAGAAAGACTAGAGAACTAGAAGGAAAAAAAAAATAATAATTAAAAAAATAAAAGTATTAACAAAACCTAGTCCTACCCAATATAAGACCGAACTTGAGACATGTCCTAGGGAATCGTGAAAAGATAACAAAATTTCTGCAAATTGCAAGAGCATCTTTAAACACTAGAGGATTGGGAAATATGACAAATAATAGAAGCTTAAGAATATAATAGAAAAAGGCGTAAATATAATTAATTTATACTCTCAAACTAACAATTCAAAGGTCTTCAATAGCTTTCTTAAAAATTGAACAAACTCCCTAAAAAGAGAAAGTGAAGAGTAAATAAGTTTCTCCATCTCTTTAATAGGTGATTTTCATGGTAGAAAGTCCCTGACTTTGATTTAAGCTTATAATCTGCACACCAATATTAAACACTAGTAATATATCAGTGCTTCACATTGTAGGTTTTTTCTTTTTTCCCTTTTTTTTTTAAATCTGCATACTAATTCACCTCCTGAATCATTCTTTTGGTATTTCAAAACCAAGTAATGTTCATCAAAATCAGGGGAAACACTAGTACATTATGTCAATTCAACTAATAATGTTCCCCGGTTGTTCATCAAAAAGTGCACCCAAAAATCTAGATAAAGAATATTGAACCGGTCCATACCTCCTCATGAATATCGAACTTAATTCTTGTGTAAGAAAAAGCAAATAATGAAATTATTGCCAACTCATTCTGTCTAATGTATATATCGTTGACCTTCCATTTCCATGGTTAAAGAGGAAACGGAAAGTGGCGTGGTATCCATTAAAAATTATCACAGTAAACATCTAAATGAACCCCGAATTTAGTCCAGTAATAAATAATGTAAAACCTGAAATGTCTGCCCGAAATCAATGCAATTTAATAATACTACTGAGTACCTTAAAAAAATTGTTGTTGACTGTCTTGAAGATACTGACACCTCTTGATTGTCATAAAACTGGCAAAGTAGGGTTAAACCTGACTGGTTTTCAACCTGTTAAGTGCAGAACATTTCAATCAACAGGCGTCTCAAGTTCCCAAAAAGCATACATACATCATTGTAAAAAAAGGCAGCAAAAGAAAGAAACATAATTTTCCATTCTCACATTATTCACCTGAGTAATACTACAATTGATTCCTATAATTTATTTAAAGATACAAAAGAATATGCACTAGTTGAAGAATTGATGACTTTTTTGATGCACTTAAAAGCTTAAATTCATGAATTAGAAGGATTCGGCATTAGAGTGCAATAGTTCATCTGAAATGTGCCAATACCGGACTTTATCCGTCAATTTAATTAGCATCAAATTCGTCTGGATTGAATGCCAGAACTAAGAAAATTGCAAGGATATATCCAATATGAATGAAGGTTTCCATTATCAGCACCAACTTTTATTCTTACTGCTTCCATGCCTCAGTCCTGCAAATTCATGTATTATTTCTGTAGACCGTGAACCAAAGAACATTTTTTTTTTTTGATAGGTAATCAAATAATTTTATTACTTAAAAGAGAATACACGGGGGGTGTACAATCACTTTAAGCCATTAAGAAAAAAATGAAATTAGGCAACCCGTCTACAGGATTTCTAGCCACAGCATTAAACCAAGAATACAAGGTAAAGTAAAATATTTCTCTTATCTGCTCTCTTGTCTTTGTTTGGTCTTCGAAGCAACGGTTGTTCCTTTCACTCCACACGCACCAAACAATACAGCCCGGGATAAGGTGTCATGATAGTTTGCTATCCTTATCCCGAAGTTTTCTACGCCATGCCCGTATCTCGTCCTCTATACGACGAGGCATCACCCAATCCATAGATTGTGAATTGAGAATACTGTTCCAAATCCAACGTACACCATCACAATGAATGAACAAATGATCGATCGTCTCCCCATCCTTCTTGCACATATAACACCACTCGATTGCATAAAATCCTTTACGACTAAGATTATTCACCGTTGAGACCTGTCCCCTCACAACTGTCCACAATAGGAATGCCACCCGAGGAGGCAATTTACACTGCCATACCAACTTCCAGGGGAATGAATTATTCACACATCCCATGAGGGAACCAAAGTACGAGCGAACCGAAAAAATGCCATCATGTGCTGTCCTCCACCAGATGCAATCCCTCTCTCCAACCCGAATTTGGGCCTCATCTAAAATGGTCATAAACAGCGAATAATCTTCCAATTCCCAATCTTGAAGATCCCTCCCAAAAGTAATATTCCAGCTATAGCTCCCATTATGAATGTCTAAGAGATCACTTACCATAGCAGTGGACACTGAGGCAATGTGATGCAAAGAAGGGAATCTCTCCTTCAGCGGTTGATCTCCGCACCAACAATCATCCCAAAATTTAATCTCATTATCATTTCCAACCACAAACTTCAGTTTGTCCAAAAAAAAACACTTCATCCCCGTCGGATATACCTCCACAAGCTCAACCCATAAGAGCCACGATCCTCAAATGTACACCATCCCCCATTCGCCCCAATTATTTCTCTCCAGAAGCTGTCCCTCTCCACTCCAAATCGCCACAACCAGTTGCCTAATAAGGCTTTATTGAACAACACAAGGCTCCTCACCCCAAGACCCCCTATCCTCATCAGCAAACAAACAACTCCCCAATTAACCAAATGGAGTCTCCTCTCCTCTTCCAACCCTGCCCACAGAAATTCTCTTTGAAGCCTCTCTAATCTCTTTGCCACTGTAATCGGAATGGGGAACAATGACAAAAAGTAATAGGGAGATTGGAGATAGTGGATTTAATGAGTAAGTCTACCTCCCTTAGAAAGGTACATACGCTTCCACCCTGCTAACCTTCTCTCCATCCTTTCCACAATACCATTCCAGATATGGGTACTTCTAAATCGTGCTCCTAATGGGAGTCCTAGATATGACATTGGCAACTGCGCAACCTTACAACCCAATATATCAGCCAACTCCTCGAAATTATTGACCTCCCCAACTAGAATAGCCTCAGACTTCCCCAAATTGATTTTCAAACCAGACACCGCTTCAAAACATAAGAGCAGACGGCGCAAGTTCCTGAATTGTTCAACATCTGCATCGCATAAGATCAACGTGTCATCTGCAAATAACAAATGAGACACCTGCAATTGATCAACCATAAAACCCTTATCAAACCCGCTCTCACTGCTCTTTCAATCATCCTACTGAGAGCCTCCATCACAATGACAAATAACAATGGGGATAATGGATCCCCTTGTCTCAAGCCTCTACTGCTCCGGAAATAACCCTCTGGTGTTCCGTTGACCAAAATTGAGAATGAAACAGTAGAAATACAGAATTGAATCCATTTAAACCATTTATCCCCAAAACCACAGCGCCTGAGCATATACAACAAGAAACCCCAATTCACATGGTCGTAAGCCTTCTGAATATCTAGCTTACAAAGCATCCCTGGGGCCCTTAGGCGCATTCTTGAATCTATGCATTCATTCGCTACAAGCACAGAGTCTAAAATCTGACTTTTTTTACAAATGCATTCTGAAACTTGGACACTACTTTTCCCAGCACCTCCTTTAATCTGTTTGCCAGGACTTTCGAAATAATCTTATACACCCCGCTGACAAGGCTAATGGGACGTAAGTCCTTAATATCAGTCGCTCCTGGTTTCTTAGGGATAAGCACAATAAATGTGGCGTTAGAACTTCTCTGGAATCTGCCACGTTCAAAAAAATAAGATAAAGTATTCACAATGTTCAGTCGAACCACATCCCAACACGCTTTGTAGAATGAGAACGAGAAACCGTTCGGTCCCGGGGCCTTATCATCGTTCATGCTGAAAACAACCTCCTTAATTTCATCCTCCCCAAATGGTCTCTCCATCCATCGGGCATCATCCTCAGTGATTGTAGAAAAGTGCAATCCCTCCAATTCTGGCCTCCATTCAAATTGCTCCCGATAGAGGTTCTAATAAAAATTCATCAGTTGGCTTCCAATTTCCTGTGGTTCCTCATAAGTAACCCCGTCCACCTTCAAAACTGTGATTGAGTTGTTCCTCCTATTAGAATTGGCGACTCTATGGAAGAATTTAGTGCATTTATCCCCCTCTTTCAACCAAGTAACTCTAGATTTCTGTCACCAATTAATCTCCTCCATCTCCACCAACCTCTCCATCTCTTCCTTTAATACTCTATGTCTCTCCTTCTCCTCCCCAGTCAACCCCTGACTCTCCTCCTGCCTATCCAATTCCTCTATCTCTGACAAACATTGATTTTTACTGCAGTTAACATTGCCTACAACTTCCTCATTCCATTTCTTTAAGTCCCCTTTCAACGCCTTTAGCATCTGATCCAATACAAAACAGGGAGACCCACTGACTTCATAGGAAGTCCACCACGTCTGTACTCGCTCCCTAAAACCTTCTATTTTCAACCACATCTTCTCAAACCTGAAAGGTCTTCTTCCACCACCCCTTCTATTCCCCGATAACATAATAGGAAAATGATCCGAGTATACCCTCCCCCATCTTCTCTGAGTGACATCTGAATATTTAGACTCCCACTCCCCACAAATCAAGAACCTATCAATACGAGACAAAACGGGTCGATCCCAATTGGATGACCAGGTAAAATCTCCCCCAATCATGGGTAAATCCACCAACAAATTCTCCCTAATAAAATCTGAGAACTCCTCCATTGCCCTAGTTAGTCTCCCACCACTCGACCTCTCCGAAGGAAATCGAATCACATTGAAATCACCCTCAATACATGTAGGGAGATTCCACCAAGCCCTCATTCCAGCCAGTTCATTCCACAAACCCACTCTACTGTCATTAGAATTAGGCCTATAAACTCCTGTGAACATCCACCGAAATCCATCCTCACAATTTTTGAAAGAAATCGATATAGAGAAGACCCCTATACTCACATCCTTCATCTCAAGCACTCTAGTGTCCCACATCACCAACACGCCTCCTGAAACCCCTGATGACCCCAAAAATTGATATCCAACATGATCTCCCCCCCCATAAACTACGAATCACCGCCCTCGAGATAAACTCCATCTTAGTTTCTTGTAGGCAAACAAGATTTGCCCCCCATCCCCTTAGCAAATGACGAACACCAAGCCTTTTACTAACCTCATTGAGACCCCTTACGTTCCAGCTAATGAGTTTTGGCATCATTGTAACACTCCATAACCCCTTCTCATTGTTCCTTTCTTGGACTCGCCACCCTCACCAGCATAGTTTACTGACCATTCGAGCCTCTTAAGTTCACGATCACCATTTCTTCTTAATTTACTTCCATGTGTACTGATGTCTTGTCCCCTATTAGCCTCTAACTCCTCGAATAATTGTAACAATCTACTTTCATACCCATCACATGACACACCAACCAACTTACTAAATTCCTGAATTCTTTGTAGAACCCAGTTTGAAGGTGGGTGACCAACTTCTAACACATCAACTCCTGAAGTATCCTCACCCTGATAGCCCTCGAGATGATCAAAGGACCGTTCTTTCTCTTCCACCACTGGTATAATGTCACTGTCACTTTCTCCTTTCTTAGCACCACCTACCCATAATACCAAAGCTTTTTCGGTCCCCATATCGTTATCTTTTGTCCTCCTACTATAAGTGTTCGTAATCCTTGATGTCGTCTGTGTATAGTTGTTTTATTTCACAGTGTCCATTGACAATTTCTCCAAGTTCACCATACTAAACTCCCCTTCCTTAGACAGCGGTTCCACTTCTCGTTCAACTGCAATCCCTGTGTCTACTTCAGTTCGGTTGACCCCCACAAAGTCAACCCCGTCATCGTTTTCATGGTATCCCGCTTCCATCCTCACCTGAGAATCACAATGTTCATCTCCTCCCTGCTTTGCATGTTCTGTAATTGATGGTAGTTCCTCATGAGTCAATCCCGATACGTGTATTTCACCGGTTTGATCCTCATCCAACTCAACCCCACACTTGTGACAACGTACCAATTTCATGGGCTCCATTTCAGGCCCGCGTCCAACCAGTCTAAGTAATTCATCTAATGCTCATTTCAACTCCTACGCACGGGTCATTATTTCAACCCTATTCAAACAAATGTCGTGATCTTGGTTATCACCGACTTTATTTGTCCTTTCCTTTTGCTGAAGCATCCGTTGGTTGGCATTCTCCGAGGTCTGTGAGTTTGCTGTAATTTCTGCATAAGTCATCCTTTGTCTGTTTCGTTCAATCACCGTTTATCCTTTGACCTTATCCCTAGCAACAAATGAGTCAACAATTGCTTGAAACACCTGCAAGACCGACGCCCATCCCTCTCCATTTGCACCTTCTGGTATCATGACAACTCTTTTCCGAAGCCTCTCCCCATATTGTGCTATCATCAAATATCTGCCTCAATGGTTCACACACCGTTGTGCCAAGAAAGCTCTTGAAGACTCATTGAACTTAAAAACACGTTCCTCAACTTCACTTCTCTTCCTCAATCTGTCTACCATATTCACCATCCAAATAGCACCATACCTTCCCATAAAGATTGAATCCGATAACTTCAAACCCCATTCTGTCAACGTAACAGTGCCAGAATCGTTAATAGATACTGCGAAGTCCTTCGCCTCCACTCTGAAACGATGATTGAATATCAAACTACGCACATCCACCAATTTTTTCCCCTGATTGTGTACTAGCAATTCATCAAATGGAGGAACGGGCAAGCCGATTGATCTCGGGGCAGCAAGTTTCCCGACGGCGACGCGTGGACCACACGCGTTGGCAGACGTGCGGCCGGAGCGGCGCGTGTGGGGGGCAGGACACCGGCAGGGGTCGTCGGTCCCTGCTGAGGTCACCGGTGAGGCGCATCTCCTCGAACTGTGGCCGGATCTGGCGGAAACGGTTGGGCGGCGCTAGGGTTTCCCACAGTAAACTGCGCCTGTGTGTGAATGGCGTGGTTAGTGGGACTGATTTGTGGCGTGAGGCCGGTTGTGTGGTGCCTACCGGACAGTTGGTCGCCGGCGCCAGTTGTGAGGGGAGCTCCATTTCGCCTCTCACAGAACTCTCGCTGGACCGACTCACCACATCTCTTTTACTCATCACAATATTGGCAATTGTGAAGTGATAGTAATTGTAGCTAACATAATACAGATGCCAGTATCGAACTGATTCTATGATGTAAGACGCAAATAGCCAGAGTTCTTTTACCAAACTTCATTTCTTATCCAGATAACCCTTCTAGGCTTTTAAGAAATAAAAATTTGGAAGCCCGTGAACCAAAGAACTCATAGCACATCTCTGCCGAGAAACAAAAATACTAACAAGATCTCATTGTTCGACCATGGTATTTAGCCAAACTATTATTCAATTTCTTTGGAAGTTTATTCCATAAGTCCAGTTTGACCCTTCACCAGCAATCTCAGCTAAAGTTACTAACAAAAAGCAAGTTCTTGTCAATATTTTTGATGAAAATTGCATTAGGTATTTTTGAGTAGAGAATATTATTAATTGATTGTGAAACTGCGGAATTTTGTGAAATTTCACATATTTCATTGTCTAATTCTAAAGGTTACAACAACAAATATATAGGAAAGAAAATCAGACTTCTCCTCCTCTAATTCTGACCTAAAATGTCTCCAATAATTACGCCCTAACATCTCTCCTCTGATCCTGCCCTATAATGTCCCTTAACTATGCTATGAGGTCAACTAGAGGAGAAACAAATACAATAAATTACAGCTATTTTCCACAGACCACTGCACTAAAACAGATGTAGAAACTGAAACACTCTATTTAGGGATAGCCTCTTCATAACTTCACAATAGAAAAGGTACAAATGGGCAACACAGAAGGTATCTAACATTAATCAGTATGTAATAGAACATTTGTTTAGTAATTTTATTTTTGGGTTCGACAAGCTACTCAAATCAGGGCTGATATAGATTACTTTGGACCCATTTGGCAAGATCAAAAGGAGCTTTTGAGATCCAAAAGCTGTTTTTGGCCCCATTTGGCTAATTTTATTAAAGTGTTTTTACTAGGTAGAAGAGTTTTTAGGGAGAGCTAGTCAATATGACTTCTTCTAAAAGGACTTCCGGAATAGAAAACTCCTTTAAAAATTAATTTTCAAACAAAAATTAAGGTAACTTCCTACAAAATCTCCTAGAGGAAGCAAAAGCAAAAATCATGCCAAACGAGCCCTTTCATCAAGTATATTAATGCACATGTTAGTGATTTAGGTTGTTCCTCTATCAGAAAAGTTTCACACGCAAAACAATGTTGGCAAAGGTCTTAAAATGATGCAACAACTACACTTAATTAATATTGCATACAAGGAGATCAAAGGAAACAAGATCCATGCATAAGATTTACATGCTACTCCAGCATTATACAAAGAACAGAAGCTAACATTATTCTCAATAAAGTTGGTATCCCAACAACATAAATTATATTTCTCCATTTCGCTCGATCCAGAGCTACCTCCTCTCAAAGGTTAAAGAATCTTTTGCTACCATTTAAGGTCATATTAACCTTGGTCTAGCCCTTTCTCTTTTGTCATTAGGTTTAGTTGTGGTTGCTTCTAAAAGAAAGATTCGAACGGTTTACTTTCATAACTTCTCACGATTCGATAGTATTCTATTAATGAAATATTATGCTTCTCATGGAGATAAGTACACCATCAAACCTAACAGCTAGATAGGGATAGGCCCCTATAATTTCATTAGACAATAGGTAGATCTTCGGCACATCTTAAACCTAGAACCTCCACAGCGAGACAAGCAATTGTCCACTGAACACTTTCTAAATGCATACCAAACCAATAAGTGAGTTCTAATAGACAGAAGCCCCCTTGGAGAATCTGCAAGACATAGCGGACGACCTTCCTTAATCATTGGCAGAGTATCTTTCTCCACCTTTCCTGGAACTTATGCCATACCCTGAGGTGGATTCAAACCATCCGTCGCAATTATATCACTCTAGCTTTTTTTGGTCTACCCAAGGCATGTCTCGACTACCTCTTCATCATATCTAAATTCATCCTCAATTTGTACACCTCATACTATTGGTTTATAGCCTCGTTTCATATTTTATCCATTCTAGTGTGACCAAACAATTATCTTAATAAAAATCCTAAGGAGACAAGATCACAAGCTCATATATGACACATGCCTCTCTTTCAGGTCTATCACAAGGAAAATGAAAACCAAGATTTGCTACACGTCTAACATGTTCGTATTATGGAAATTTTGTTCTTTAATGTCCCATCACCTAAAAGTCAACTGATAAAATATAAAACTTGACAGACATTGCTCATCACTCAACAATGTCTCATAAATCTTCCATTTTAACTTTGGTATCTCCCAAGGGAAAAAGAGCTTACAACATTAACTAAAAAAACTACAGTACTACAGAACACCAACCAAATAAGATATTAAAAAGTGCAAATTCACCGAAGAAAGATACTTCATATAACCTAGATATGTGTATAAATAATTGTTTTACAAACCTTGCAACAGTTGGCCAAAACTACAGAGCTCCTAACGGCATAAGGACCAGCCAAATTCAATTTTCCAATCACAAACAGAATGATGTCCAATGAAAGCTCGTTCATTGATACAATCGCCTGCAATACCGCAGAAAATATTAATAGTGATAACTACACAATAACTGAATTTGAAAATTACTCAACATCATAATCAAAACCTCTTTAATTCTAGCGTAGAAATGACTTTGCACTCTTTGCAAAACATTGTCTGATCCCTGAATAAGAAACTTTGAAGTGTAGAAACTGCAGATTTCAAGTGGATGAAGAAACTCCCTCCTGAAGTCATGAGTGAAATTGGAAAGTTAATAAAAAAATTCATGAAATGAAATGAAATGAAAACTATAAAGATACATCATTGTTGCTGAAATGAAATCAAGAAAATAAGACGTAAACCCATGCACCATTGAACCGTAAAACACTTACCATGAGCTCCGCTGGGCATCAAAGTAATACAACAGTACTTCTACTGTGTTCACGACCCTCACTTTTGTGTTTGAGATCTGCAAAATGGCTTCAGAAGAAGTGATTGATCCCTGGAGGAGCGGTAACTTCCCCTCTGTATCTGAAAGCTCGTGAAGAATGGTCAGAGTAACCTTGTCTATTGTAATTGTAATACCAGAAAGGTTCCCATTTTCCCTCAACTCTTTAGTGCTGTTTGCATTTGAATCATACTGTAGATTAGTTCCAGATCCGGTCCCTAAATATCGAATTGGCAACAAACTATTACTTGCTGGAGAAGGGTCATGAAACACTTTCCACTTAAACAAATTTCCTGGCTTGCTGACAAATTCAAGGACACCATCAATAAAAGCCACAGCATAATCATTTTTTTTGTTCACAAGGTGAAATGTACGTCTAACCAGAGGATGAAAAGACTCCAGCTCGACATCATCCCCATAGTGGTCAGGTCTATCAGGAAGTGCTGCCCAAAGTGCACACCCACTATCATTAGAACAGGAGATGTCAACAAGACCCTGTCTTGGACGGCAATTCAATCGCAATGATTCCCCAGAATTATCTTTAGCATATAATGAAATCAATGAAAAATACTGAACTTGTGACTTCCATCGCCTTGCATTATAATACTTCACCTGAATGGTATAATTTGATGTGAAATGTTAGGTATGATGAGCATGAACTCACCTAGCCAACTCTAAAACCAGGGGACAACCAAAAGATTACTAAATATAAAATTAATATTATACTCAAAGGGGAGAGGGGATGAATGCAAATGAGAAAAGAGGTGTCGGATGCATAAAATCATTCATTCTTGTAACCAGAACTTTTTAAACGAAATATCAGGAGAAGCCAATTAAAATAGTCTTCAGAAACTTGGGGAAGTGTGAAGAAATGCCATGAACTAATAATAATAATATATCTCAAGTAGAGTTCAATATCAGGGCAAGTTATTAGTAGTAAACAAAGTATATGCAAACAAACCTAGGAAAGCAAAATAGAAAAAACTTTCCAATGCAGATGCACAAAGATGGGTGCCAAATTTTCAAATAGAGCACATGAAACATGTTCAAATGATCTTCAATATTCTAGGATTTAAATATAAATGCATTACTATTACGTGAGGTTAAAAGATGTAGGCATTAATATTAATTTATGGTCATAGATAACATAATTCAACATAAGCAATCTATTAAAACTACTAATAACAAAGCCAAAATTAACAAATTAACATACTACCCTTGCCCACACGTTCACTAAGAATGAAGTTAAGATGTATTACTCTGAAAAGAGATCTCTCTCCCACTAGCGAATAATGAGTCGCACCAATTATACCGTATCTACTTTCAACATCTTCAACTGCAATATACATGTGTTGGTCAACATCTTGGATTGCAACAATTGTTCCTATACAAGTTGCATAAGTTGTCAGCCAATGTTCAGAAAAAAAGAGAGCTACTTTACCTTAAAATACAGACAAATATAGAAATACCATCAGCAACCATTTCTTCAGCACTTCCTTCAGAATCTTGGTCACTAGACCAGTGCCTCTGTTCCATTTTGGAAGTTTTCTCTCTGATAAAAACCTCAGAGAAACATTTGAAAGCAGAAATTAGGATCTGGCAAAAAAATTAAACTAAATTAAATTAAAACCTGTCCACTTAATATTTCTTCAGTCTCATCTGGAGTAAGCAAGCATAAGCTCCAAAAAAATGACAAAGTCAGTGACTGAGAAACTGTAAGTACTTGAGACAACATTAGTGCGGACTATATATTACTACATCAAATTATACTTTATCATTTTGCCCATAAACTTCTACTAGATTACAGGAGAAATTTCATAAATCTTGAATGATGTTGTGGAATGTCTTTTCTTTTGTTTCGTTTGTTAATTTCCTTATCAACAAAACTCTGCATCCTTATATGTATATGTTAACCAACTCAATAAGCTTTTGCATGAGATAATTAACACGGAATCAGGCCACACAAAAAACCTTGGTTCAAGACACAGAATCAGGCCACCCATAAAACCTGGGTTCAAGTCTAATTGTCATTCATTTAATAAAAGTGAATGTGTTAGGTGGTCTTTGACAGAAAAAATTATATTGGCTCACACAAGCGGTCATGTTGAATACACAAATGATTATTAGGGGCACATTATGTACTTAAAGTATGTAGTCAACACAAGCCCTCATGAGGTAGGATTCATTTTTCCCATCAAAAGCCTACCACATGCACAATGTAGTACATTAATGGCAGTGAGACTCGAACCCAGAGACGGTTAGCAGTATCTATACTAATGAAAAACAATTCTCTCTCTACAAAATTGATAGATATAAAATGGTCAAATGAATATTTTCAACAAAAATAGATAGCATTTTTTCCTTTCTATTTTCCTTTCTCTTCCTTTTTTATGCAAGTTAAAAGCCAAGAATGAATGGAAAACGTGTTACCTTGGATAGCTTTCAGACTATTTTGATGAATACCAATAAATATAATGAGATTGCTTACCTTTATTTCAGTCAGAGAGATGGTCAAATCAAAACCCGATATAAAACCACTCCCAACCCAAAGTTTATTAGGACAGAATTGATCTCCCGATACAGGCCACTCAGCTGCTAGGAAGGACTTAAATTCTTTCAGTATGTAGTTTTGAGAACTCAAATGCACATTTTTTTGTTCAGAGTGACTAATAACTGATCCCCCAGAACTACCAATACGAATGTCATTCTGAGAGGAAGAAGGGCTCGAGTAACCTGCATCAGCAAGGGCAGAGTGAACTGTAACTTTCTGCTCAAGCACTGGTAAACCATCGGATATCAAGTTGGGAGATGGATCATCAAGCGCACCAGAAGAAAAGCCGTGAATTTGAATATCCCTGGGTTTCTGTCCCGTCACATGTATGTACTGAGAAAGCATAGAAAATTTGGATATACCAAGTGAAACTTTTTTCACCGTGCTCAATACTTTGTGGTTCAAATGAAAGTCAACCTCAAGCAGAAGTTCTTGAAGTCTGCCTGCATAGGGGATTACTGAAATTACGTTCAATTACTATTAGAAAATTTATAACAGCAGCAGAAGATATTACCAGATTCATCATTGGACACAAATATGAGAAACAAATGTGAAATATTCAAGGAAAATTCTTGCAAATGATCCTGTGTTACATGCTGAAGTTGCTGTGAATTCAAACTCGAGCGCACATCTAAAACAGTCTTATCCTCACTGTACTGTGGAACCACCCTTCCTGGAGATGAACCAGAATGCCAAAGATCTAAAATTCGGTTGTAGTACGATTTACAGCATCCAGCAAACATAGTTGCAGATGTGGCTTCAAGTAACAAAAAACCACCCTGTTGGAGAGTATCATACATGAATGTATTAATTAGAAGTTGACAAGTACACAGAAATAACCGATTTAGTAGCATTTCAAATAAATAAATAAATAACGAATGGAAAGTTCAATGTATAAGCAGACATTGTAATGGCAAAATCAACACCAAACTATCTTATGTAGGAGATATAGTACCAAGGAATCACAAGAGATTGTCTGGAATTCTTCTCCAACAGAGAAAGATGCGCTCAGTTTATTTGGCACGTGTTCTCTAGCCAATATATCCTTTACTGGGCAGCTAGACACATAAATTTCAGAGAGAGCAATAGTTGCAAGTACAGGATGATCTCCAAGTTCAGCATTCGTACTCGTAACCATAGGAGAATGCTCCGCCATGCACAAAGCATTACTGTTAGAAGTAGGTTCATCCATTGCTGTGCTCAAACTTGCACGTGGCAAGTCTTTTTTAAGGGTTCTCAAGAAGAAACACAATTTGATATGAGAAATTGATGCTTCAATTAAGAAATTTAGAGAGCGTAACAGATTGTTGATTTCAGATTTATGCAGGCTTTCTTCAAACTCAGCAGGATATCTGAAAATGATAGATCGAAATCCAGATAAATCAATTATAATATCCATGTTTCCTCTTCTAAAAGATACATCCATGAATAACTTCGGACCAGATATGTAAATTCCATGACCGGGCATTTCACGCATGGCCAACTTTGTTCCAGTTACTCTGGAGCTATTCTCCATGCTATAGCATTGCCTGGAGTTATGAATAACTATGTCGAAGGACTTAAGCTCACAGGTGTTATTGACAGACATTTGGACATGGGTAATAATCAGTGATGTCGGTCCTCCTCTAGCCATGAATGTTTCCTCACTCCCAGAATCAGCATAAAATGTCTCTTGTCTTGATGCTTCTTGATGGCTTAGGTCATCACTGGACGCAAGCATAGCAAAGGCACGTGACAGATCATAATATAATCCAAAAATCACCTAGTACAAAGAAAAGTAATTAGTAAATATAGGCCCCGTTTGGTACACATTAATGTAAAAATGAGAATGAAAAATATAACCATTACGGTCCCACACAAGAAATAGAAAGACAAATATGGTGGCTTGATGTGATGGATGACGGTCATATTTTTCATTTTAATGGGCAAATAATGGGAAACAAACGGGGGCATAGAAATTACTTCCTATAAAAAATTTTGGTTAGGTTCATGAGTGTTAATACTTCATTACCAACATCTAGCACGCTAAAGATACATCAATGGCTTAATCCTGTCCACGGAAGATAACATTTATCTAGCAATTCAAGAAAGTTAATGATTTTTAATCATCATAGACACGGCAGTTGACAGAATTTTATATACGAAAACGTTGTAAGAACTACTTAAGGCAGAGTGAATCCCTGGCATCAGTTAAGAGGACTTTGGTTGATGTCAGTCATATTCCCCCCCACAACCAACACACACACACCAACCTAAGTATCTGTTTTATGGCCATACACTTAAATTAGCTGTGGGGGTTTGGCATTGCCCTCTACGCAAGTCATATTGATTAGGAAGATACAGTGAGGGGGATGAGTGGCAATACCTCAAGAAGGAATTACAATGACTTCTTATACCAGGGAACCATTAACTAAACAGACAACAAATAATCTATTTACTAATACGTCTCATATTATCCCCTGAACAGAAGAGATAAAATAAAATAAGATTGTTCAACTCTCAATATATGACAAGTCACAATGATATCAGAAATTTCAGCTAGCAATATACCTCTTCGGGAGGTAGAGCCATGTAAGTCAATTAAAACCAGCGACATATTCAATCTCAAGTTATCATAGGTTTTCTAACCACTACAATCGTAGTCGCAGATGGGTTGACTTTGATTTCTAAGGATACTAAACAAAGATTAAAAAATAAAAAAATAAACAACTCCAGGAAGCATGAATAAATTTAATGAGAACACGAGCAAAAATTATGTATCTGCAGGGTCATGGAAAGAACAGAGAACCTTTGTCAAAATATACAACTCATCCATATATATCAAAGTAGTGAATCCAGTAGCCATCCAATGTGAGGCAGCAGAGAGAGCAATCATTGTTGAACCAAATGAATGATGCTCCTTCCTGCATGGATAAGAGTCATAACACATATTTGGCACAAGAGATGAGAAAATAATCATTGCCTGATTTGCTTTTTTTTTATTTTTAACTTTACAGCTTGCCAATGTTCATGCCCCATACAAAATGTTCGGCCGGGGGGGGTGGGGGGGGGTTGGGTTAAATATAAGTCTGACTCTTAATTATCATATTATATAACTTTATCTGGTGTTAAATATCTGATGATTCATGCCAGGGGATCAAAATGAACTGTACATTTATATTAAATATGTCTTGACATGTTTGTATTATCTGAAACGACTTCCTACCAAGCAACACTTTGATTGGACTCAGATCATGAAGTGACTAATGGGTCATTTATATTAAGCCCTTGTTTGAGCCCCATTTTGAGGGGAAAAATGTATAATAGTAATTTTTTGAAGAATGTGTGGTTAAAAAGTAAGAAAAAGTTTTCAATTTACGTGTAAAATTATTTTATTTGAGAATGTGTGGTTGAAAATGAGTTTTTTTGAGAAAAATGAGGCTCAAACAAGGGCTAAATATGTCTTGTCGTGTTTATATTAACTGTAGTGACTTCCTACCAAGCAACACATTGACTGGACTGAGATCATGAAGTGACAAACGGATCCCTAGCTAGAAAATATCTAAGCCTAACATCGCATTTAAAAAAAAAAAAAAAGATTTATACGAGCGGCATGACTAAAAATATAGAGTCATCTGCTAGGATATGTTACTTACTGTTTTAAAACAAAGTATGGTATTGAACACTATCTGATTTAGTTCAAAACCACAGAATCTAAAACTTCTTAAGAAAATAGAGTCTATGATGCATGAAAAATCAAAATGTCAGAAACTGAAGGCAGAGTACTCAAAACAGCATCTTTCTATGACGACTTGAAAGCGTGAAAATGAGAATGATAAAAGTAACTGCTGGGATGCAACTTTCTTTCATCTTCAGGTACACGTGATTGAAATGGAAAGCAATGTAAAAACATGAGGAGAAGGATGATCTAATACCTTAAACCTTGAAGTTGAATAGTTGTTGGGCTTAATTCAAAGATGTGGTAATTCTGACTTTCAGAGGATTCCTCAAAGTAAGCATTCAAACCATTAAATTTAAGGTGAGCGTTGTATAAAATACGTCTTTGACAGCTGTAAATTTCATTAACTGATCCAGTGATGTCAATATCATTAGGTACCTTCAGTATAGTGTAATCCGGTTCCCTATCATTACCTGCTGAGCACGCACCAGATGATGCAAGATTAGAATCCAAATTTGGTGAAAACACAAGTTCAATATCATGGAGATTCAAAGTGGCCTGTTTAATCAGATGGTGTGGCTCTTCATTTTCTACATAAAACTGATCCTGTGTCAGAGATAGTTGCACATGAGGACCAGCAATTAGTACTCCGATTTGAACATGCTTTTGTGGTAGCATTCTCATAATTGTCGTCTCAATGTTGTCATAGTATGAACTGTATCTACAACTGAAATCCCTTGGTGGATCCTCAGTGATAGCTGTTGGTGTATGAGAAACAAAATTCCTCCTGCAATCATCCCAGCCAAGAGAATGTTGTATTTGACTGAGAAGCACAGCAATTGAAGCTACCAACAAGTATTCTAGTTTGACGTTTAATCTTCCTACCACCATAACACAGTTCCAAAACCCATAACTAAGATCACTGAGGCTGTCATCTGTCAAAGAGCTCCTTACCTCACAAAGAATCCACGGACTTTGCAACTTTGAGATGATATATGCTTCAGATTTTGAACAAGAGTCTTTCCAATTCAACCATAATTTTCCTAGAAGGAGGTCTAGATATGAGATTGAAGTTGCTCCAATATCATTGGTGAGGTTATCTCCAGTAACTTCAGAAGGGCATATCATTTTGGCAGGCTCACCCCATATGACAGTCTGCTGATCATTACCTTTCTTCGTGCCACGTCCTTTTAAGTACTTTGAATAACTCTTTGGACTTCCCTTTAGAATAGAGAAAGAAAGAACCTTCCAGCAACCACATGCGAAAACAAAACACTTCTCTGAGACATTTTCTATGTATCCTAAGAAGCACGCATCAATAGAAAGATGAAATGATAGTAAATCTTGGTACGAAAACCCAATATCTGAGACTGCCTTCCAGCTGGTAGTATGCTGATCATCATTTTCTGGAGTAACGGATATTGAAATTTCTCCGATGTTAAGATCCATATAACATTGTGTGAGTGAATCTTCGCAAGAAGAGCCAAAATGTTGACTAGTCTTCGGATGATTAGGCCAAACTCTATGCAAAGAAAGATTCCTTGTAACAATATTCAACAAACTGCATATAGTGGCCCAGATAAGGACAAGTAATTGATGCAACTTCAAGAAAATTATATTGATTAAGGACTCTTTAGAACTGCAGTTTGCCCCAGAATGGTGAGAAGCTACTGTAGAACGAACCATTCGCCTTGCCAATGCAATTACCTCAGTGGGCAGCTCTTTCTCAATTTCAGAAATCAGTTTCCACTGGAACTTTACAGATCTTGTATATTTTTTGTCCCGGGACATTGAGATGGTTGATTTTTTCATGACACCCACCATGGGATATCCAACTAGTTGAAGCATACCCTGATAAGTGTGTACGTAGCGCAACCATAAACAAGCAACTTTAGTTGCTTTTAGCAATGACGAGGCAGAAGTTGGAAGCAAAGATCTAATTTTGCTTGAAGCTATATTCCATAGTTGCAAACCAGGTCTTGCACGTTTTGACTCTTTGGACAAGAATGTATAAAAAACTAGCATGACAGAAATATCACCTGAAGAAAAAAAAAGTTCTAAAGATGGCACACAAAATTTAAAGCTTACAAACTGGAGGCACTTCAAATAAATTAAAGCATGCAAATTGGTTGAAGGTAAAGCACAGTTTGTGCGGTTTCCATTGTTCACTCTAATCTCAAAACCATCAATAGACAAATTGAATGAATTCTCTACAGAAGGCACAAAAAGTGAACTCATGAACCCTCTGAGAAAACTTCTGTTCAAAACTGATCCTGCTCCAACTTCTTTTGCATACAATGAGCATGAGATCAAACCATTTGAACCAGGACATTGCAAGAGCACGTGAACATCATGCAGCTGCAAATGACAGTAACTTAGTATTGAATTCAATAAAGAAATTGTCCTAGTATTGGGGGCGATGTCCGAAATCCTTTTTATGGCATCATGCAAAGCACAACCCTGAGAACATCAAAGACAAAAACCGCTCTTAAGCTTTGGTGATGAAGCAAAAAATGAAGTATAACATGACACGCAGGGTAAGGTAATGAAGAAGGGTAGAATAGGATTTGCTGCTTCTAAGGTTCACCAACATGGGTACAAACTTCCAAATTCTTTTAATCCCTCTGAAGATCATGACTTTAGTACTGGGTATCTTACTCACCAACTGTTGGATTCATTTTCATGATAAATGCAACGCGATAACTATAGAAAGAGAATATACAGGTAATATATAATCAGGTCCAATATCTAACGGAGGCTCCAGCTTACAAAGTAAGAGGTTGAGTCATGAAGGAAGAATCACTCTTCATGACTGATCGTTGTGTTTAGACCACAATATTCATATTTTTCTCTTGTTTCCAGAAAGGTATGCAGTAATCATGTGCAAAGGCTACTTTGAAAAATGTTACCTTTACATGAGCTAGGATTTTTGAGAATCATTACTTAGGCCCCGTTTGGTATCCATTTTTTTCAAAATGTAACCAGAACTTTTTAAACGAAATATCAGGAGAAGCCAATTAAAATAGTCTTCAGAAACTTGGGGAAGTGTGAAGAAATGCCATGAACTAATAATAATAATATATCTCAAGTAGAGTTCAATATCAGGGCAAGTTATTAGTAGTAAACAAAGTATATGCAAACAAACCTAGGAAAGCAAAATAGAAAAAACTTTCCAATGCAGATGCACAAAGATGGGTGCCAAATTTTCAAATAGAGCACATGAAACATGTTCAAATGATCTTCAATATTCTAGGATTTAAATATAAATGCATTACTATTACGTGAGGTTAAAAGATGTAGGCATTAATATTAATTTATGGTCATAGATAACATAATTCAACATAAGCAATCTATTAAAACTACTAATAACAAAGCCAAAATTAACAAATTAACATACTACCCTTGCCCACACGTTCACTAAGAATGAAGTTAAGATGTATTACTCTGAAAAGAGATCTCTCTCCCACTAGCGAATAATGAGTCGCACCAATTATACCGTATCTACTTTCAACATCTTCAACTGCAATATACATGTGTTGGTCAACATCTTGGATTGCAACAATTGTTCCTATACAAGTTGCATAAGTTGTCAGCCAATGTTCAGAAAAAAAGAGAGCTACTTTACCTTAAAATACAGACAAATATAGAAATACCATCAGCAACCATTTCTTCAGCACTTCCTTCAGAATCTTGGTCACTAGACCAGTGCCTCTGTTCCATTTTGGAAGTTTTCTCTCTGATAAAAACCTCAGAGAAACATTTGAAAGCAGAAATTAGGATCTGGCAAAAAAATTAAACTAAATTAAATTAAAACCTGTCCACTTGATATTTCTTCAGTCTCATCTGGAGTAAGCAAGCATAAGCTCCAAAAAAATGACAAAGTCAGTGACTGAGAAACTGTAAGTACTTGAGACAACATTAGTGCGGACTATATATTACTACATCAAATTATACTTTATCATTTTGCCCATAAACTTCTACTAGATTACAGGAGAAATTTCATAAATCTTGAATGATGTTGTGGAATGTCTTTTCTTTTGTTTCGTTTGTTAATTTCCTTATCAACAAAACTCTGCATCCTTATATGTATATGTTAACCAACTCAATAAGCTTTTGCATGAGATAATTAACACGGAATCAGGCCACACAAAAAACCTTGGTTCAAGACACAGAATCAGGCCACCCATAAAACCTGGGTTCAAGTCTAATTGTCATTCATTTAATAAAAGTGAATGTGTTAGGTGGTCTTTGACAGAAAAAATTATATTGGCTCACACAAGCGGTCATGTTGAATACACAAATGATTATTAGGGGCACATTATGTACTTAAAGTATGTAGTCAACACAAGCCCTCATGAGGTAGGATTCATTTTTCCCATCAAAAGCCTACCACATGCACAATGTAGTAAATTAATGGCAGTGAGACTCGAACCCAGAGACGGTTAGCAGTATCTATACTAATGAAAAACAATTCTCTCTCTACAAAATTTATAGATATAAAATGGTCAAATGAATATTTTCAACAAAAATAGATAGCATTTTTTCCTTTCTATTTTCCTTTCTCTTCCTTTTTTATGCAAGTTAAAAGCCAAGAATGAATGGAAAACGTGTTACCTTGGATAGCTTTCAGACTATTTTGATGAATACCAATAAATATAATGAGATTGCTTACCTTTATTTCAGTCAGAGAGATGGTCAAATCAAAACCCGATATAAAACCACTCCCAACCCAAAGTTTATTAGGACAGAATTGATCTCCCGATACAGGCCACTCAGCTGCTAGGAAGGACTTAAATTCTTTCAGTATGTAGTTTTGAGAACTCAAATGCACATTTTTTTGTTCAGAGTGACTAATAACTGATCCCCCAGAACTACCAATACGAATGTCATTCTGAGAGGAAGAAGGGCTCGAGTAACCTGCATCAGCAAGGGCAGAATGAACTGTAACTTTCTGCTCAAGCACTGGTAAACCATCGGATATCAAGTTGGGAGATGGATCATCAAGCGCACCAGAAGAAAAGCCGTGAATTTGAATATCCCTGGGTTTCTGTCCCGTCACATGTATGTACTGAGAAAGCATAGAAAATTTGGATATACCAAGTGAAACTTTTTTCACCGTGCTCAATACTTTGTGGTTCAAATGAAAGTCAACCTCAAGCAGAAGTTCTTGAAGTCTGCCTGCATAGGGGATTACTGAAATTACGTTCAATTACTATTAGAAAATTTATAACAGCAGCAGAAGATATTACCAGATTCATCATTGGACACAAATATGAGAAACAAATGTGAAATATTCAAGGAAAATTCTTGCAAATGATCCTGTGTTACATGCTGAAGTTGCTGTGAATTCAAACTCGAGCGCACATCTAAAACAGTCTTATCCTCACTATACTGTGGAACCACCCTTCCTGGAGATGAACCAGAATGCCAAATATCTAAAATTCGGTTGTAGTACGATTTACAGCATCCAGCAAACATAGTTGCAGATGTGGCTTCAAGTAACAAAAAACCACCCTGTTGGAGAGTATCATACATGAATGTATTAATTAGAAGTTGACAAGTACACAGAAATAACTGATTTAGTAGCATTTCAAATAAATAAATAAATAACGAATGGAAAGTTCAATGTATAAGCAGACATTGTAATGGCAAAATCAACACCAAACTATCTTATGTAGGAGATATAGTACCAAGGAATCACAAGAGATTGTCTGGAATTCTTCTCCAACAGAGAAAGATGCGCTCAGTTTATTTGGCACGTGTTCTCTAGCCAATATATCCTTTACTGGGCAGCTAGACACATAAATTTCAGAGAGAGCAATAGTTGCAAGTACAGGATGATCTCCAAGTTCAGCATTCGTACTCGTAACCATAGGAGAATGCTCCGCCATGCACAAAGCATTACTGTTAGAAGTAGGTTCATCCATTGCTGTGCTCAAACTTGCACGTGGCAAGTCTTTTTTAAGGGTTCTCAAGAAGAAACACAATTTGATATGAGAAATTGATGCTTCAATTAAGAAATTTAGAGAGCGTAACAGATTGTTGATTTCAGATTTATGCAGGCTTTCTTCAAACTCAGCAGGATATCTGAAAATGATAGATCGAAATCCAGATAAATCAATTATAAGATCCATGTTTCCTCTTCTAAAAGATACATCCATGAATAACTTCGGACCAGATATGTAAATTCCATGACCGGGCATTTCACGCATGGCCAACTTTGTTCCAGTTACTCTGGAGCTATTCTCCATGTTATAGCATTGCCTGGAGTTATGAATAACTATGTCGAAGGACTTAAGCTCACAGGTGTTATTGACAGACATTTGGACATGGGTAATAATCAGTGATGTCGGTCCTCCTCTAGCCATGAATGTTTCCTCACTCCCAGAATCAGCATAAAATGTCTCTTGTCTTGATGCTTCTTGATGGCTTAGGTCATCACTGGACGCAAGCATAGCAAAGGCACGTGACAGATCATAATATAATCCAAAAATCACCTAGTACAAAGAAAAGTAATTAGTAAATATAGGCCCCGTTTGGTACACATTAATGTAAAAATGAGAATGAAAAATATAACCATTACGGTCCCACACAAGAAATAGAAAGACAAATATGGTGGCTTGATGTGATGGATGACGGTCATATTTTTCATTTTAATGGGCAAATAATGGGAAACAAACGGGGGCATAGAAATTACTTCCTATAAAAAATTTTGGTTAGGTTCATGAGTGTTAATACTTCATTACCAACATCTAGCACGCTAAAGATACATCAATGGCTTAATCCTGTCCACGGAAGATAACATTTATCTAGCAATTCAAGAAAGTTAATGATTTTTAATCATCATAGACACGGCAGTTGACAGAATTTTATGTACGAAAACGTTGTAAGAACTACTTAAGGCAGAGTGAATCCCTGGCATCAGTTAAGAGGACTTTGGTTGATGTCAGTCATATTCCCCCCCACAACCAACACACACACACCAACCTAAGTATCTGTTTTATGGCCATACACTTAAATTAGCTGTGGGGGTTTGGCATTGCCCTCTACGCAAGTCATATTGATTAGGAAGATACAGTGAGGGGGATGAGTGGCAATACCTCAAGAAGGAATTACAATGACTTCTTATACCAGGGAACCATTAACTAAACAGACAACAAATAATCTATTTACTAATACGTCTCATATTATCCCCTGAACAGAAGAGATAAAATAAAATAAGATTGTTCAACTCTCAATATATGACAAGTCACAATGATATCAGAAATTTCAGCTAGCAATATACCTCTTCGGGAGGTAGAGCCATGTAAGTCAATTAAAACCAGCGACATATTCAATCTCAAGTTATCATAGGTTTTCTAACCACTACAATCGTAGTCGCAGATGGGTTGACTTTGATTTCTAAGGATACTAAACAAAGATTAAAAAATAAAAAAATAAACAACTCCAGGAAGCATGAATAAATTTAATGAGAACACGAGCAAAAATTATGTATCTGCAGGGTCATGGAAAGAACAGAGAACCTTTGTCAAAATATACAACTCATCCATATATATCAAAGTAGTGAATCCAGTAGCCATCCAATGTGAGGCAGCAGAGAGAGCAATCATTGTTGAACCAAATGAATGATGCTCCTTCCTGCATGGATAAGAGTCATAACACATATTTGGCACAAGAGATGAGAAAATAATCATTGCCTGATTTGCTTTTTTTTTATTTTTAACTTTACAGCTTGCCAATGTTCATGCCCCATACAAAATGTTCGGCCGGGGGGGGTGGGGGGGGGTTGGGTTAAATATAAGTCTGACTCTTAATTATCATATTATATAACTTTATCTGGTGTTAAATATCTGATGATTCATGCCAGGGGATCAAAATGAACTGTACATTTATATTAAATATGTCTTGACATGTTTGTATTATCTGAAACGACTTCCTACCAAGCAACACTTTGATTGGACTCAGATCATGAAGTGACTAATGGGTCATTTATATTAAGCCCTTGTTTAAGCCCCATTTTGAGGGGAAAAATGTATAATAGTAATTTTTTGAAGAATGTGTGGTTAAAAAGTAAGAAAAAGTTTTCAATTTACGTGTAAAATTATTTTATTTGAGAATGTGTGGTTGAAAATGAGTTTTTTTGAGAAAAATGAGGCTCAAACAAGGGCTAAATATGTCTTGTCGTGTTTATATTAACTGTAGTGACTTCCTACCAAGCAACACATTGACTGGACTCAGATCATGAAGTGACAAACGGATCCCTAGCTAGAAAATATCTAAGCCTAACATCGCATTTAAAAAAAAAAAAAAAGATTTATACGAGCGGCATGACTAAAAATATAGAGTCATCTGCTAGGATATGTTACTTACTGTTTTAAAACAAAGTATGGTATTGAACACTATCTGATTTAGTTCAAAACCACAGAATCTAAAACTTCTTAAGAAAATAGAGTCTATGATGCATGAAAAATCAAAATGTCAGAAACTGAAGGCAGAGTACTCAAAACAGCATCTTTCTATGACGACTTGAAAGCGTGAAAATGAGAATGATAAAAGTAACTGCTGGGATGCAACTTTCTTTCATCTTCAGGTACACGTGATTGAAATGGAAAGCAATGTAAAAACATGAGGAGAAGGATGATCTAATACCTTAAACCTTGAAGTTGAATAGTTGTTGGGCTTAATTCAAAGATGTGGTAATTCTGACTTTCAGAGGATTCCTCAAAGTAAGCATTCAAACCATTAAATTTAAGGTGAGCGTTGTATAAAATACGTCTTTGACAGCTGTAAATTTCATTAACTGATCCAGTGATGTCAATATCATTAGGTACCTTCAGTATAGTGTAATCCGGTTCCCTATCATTACCTGCTGAGCACGCACCAGATGATGCAAGATTAGAATCCAAATTTGGTGAAAACACAAGTTCAATATCATGGAGATTCAAAGTGGCCTGTTTAATCAGATGGTGTGGCTCTTCATTTTCTACATAAAACTGATCCTGTGTCAGAGATAGTTGCACATGAGGACCAGCAATTAGTACTCCGATTTGAACATGCTTTTGTGGTAGCATTCTCATAATTGTCGTCTCAATGTTGTCATAGTATGAACTGTATCTACAACTGAAATCCCTTGGTGGATCCTCAGTGATAGCTGTTGGTGTATGAGAAACAAAATTCCTCCTGCAATCATCCCAGCCAAGAGAATGTTGTATTTGACTGAGAAGCACAGCAATTGAAGCTACCAACAAGTATTCTAGTTTGACGTTTAATCTTCCTACCACCATAACACAGTTCCAAAACCCATAACTAAGATCACTGAGGCTGTCATCTGTCAAAGAGCTCCTTACCTCACAAAGAATCCACGGACTTTGCAACTTTGAGATGATATATGCTTCAGATTTTGAACAAGAGTCTTTCCAATTCAACCATAATTTTCCTAGAAGGAGGTCTAGATATGAGATTGAAGTTGCTCCAATATCATTGGTGAGGTTATCTCCAGTAACTTCAGAAGGGCATATCATTTTGGCAGGCTCACCCCATATGACAGTCTGCTGATCATTACCTTTCTTCGTGCCACGTCCTTTTAAGTACTTTGAGTAACTCTTTGGACTTCCCTTTAGAATAGAGAAAGAAAGAACCTTCCAGCAACCACATGCGAAAACAAAACACTTCTCTGAGACATTTTCTATGTATCCTAAGAAGCACGCATCAATAGAAAGATGAAATGATAGTAAATCTTGGTACGAAAACCCAATATCTGAGACTGCCTTCCAGCTGGTAGTATGCTGATCATCATTTTCTGGAGTAACGGATATTGAAATTTCTCCGATGTTAAGATCCATATAACATTGTGCGAGTGAATCTTCGCAAGAAGAGCCAAAATGTTGACTAGTCTTCTGATGATTAGGCCAAACTCTATGCAAAGAAAGATTCCTTGTAACAATATTCAACAAACTGCATATAGTGGCCCAGATAAGGACAAGTAATTGATGCAACTTCAAGAAAATTATATTGATTAAGGACTCTTTAGAACTGCAGTTTGCCCCAGAATGGTGAGAAGCTACTGTAGAACGAACCATTCGCCTTGCCAATGCAATTACCTCAGTGGGCAGCTCTTTCTCAATTTCAGAAATCAGTTTCCACTGGAACTTTACAGATCTTGTATATTTTTTGTCCCGGGACATTGAGATGGTTGATTTTTTCATGACACCCACCATGGGATATCCAACTAGTTGAAGCATACCCTGATAAGTGTGTACGTAGCGCAACCATAAACAAGCAACTTTAGTTGCTTTTAGCAATGACGAGGCAGAAGTTGGAAGCAAAGATCTAATTTTGCTTGAAGCTATATTCCATAGTTGCAAACCAGGTCTTGCACGTTTTGACTCTTTGGACAAGAATGTATAAAAAACTAGCATGACAGAAATATCACCTGAAGAAAAAAAAAGTTCTAAAGATGGCACACAAAATTTAAAGCTTACAAACTGGAGGCACTTCAAATAAATTAAAGCATGCAAATTGGTTGAAGGTAAAGCACAGTTTGTGCGGTTTCCATTGTTCACTCTAATCTCAAAACCATCAATAGACAAATTGAATGAATTCTCTTCAGAAGGCACAAAAAGTGAACTCATGAACCCTCTGAGAAAACTTCTGTTCAAAACTGATCCTGCTCCAACTTCTTTTGCATACAATGAGCATGAGATCAAACCATTTGAACCAGGACATTGCAAGAGCACGTGAACATCATGCAGCTGCAAATGACAGTAACTTAGTATTGAATTCAATAAAGAAATTGTCCTAGTATTGGGGGCGATGTCCGAAATCCTTTTTATGGCATCATGCAAAGCACAACCCTGAGAACATCAAAGACAAAAACCGCTCTTAAGCTTTGGTGATGAAGCAAAAAATGAAGTATAACATGACACGCAGGGTAAGGTAATGAAGAAGGGTAGAATAGGATTTGCTGCTTCTAAGGTTCACCAACATGGGTACAAACTTCCAAATTCTTTTAATCCCTCTGAAGATCATGACTTTAGTACTGGGTATCTTACTCACCAACTGTTGGATTCATTTTCATGATAAATGCAACGCGATAACTATAGAAAGAGAATATACAGGTAATATATAATCAGGTCCAATATCTAACGGAGGCTCCAGCTTACAAAGTAAGAGGTTGAGTCATGAAGGAAGAATCACTCTTCATGACTGATCGTTGTGTTTAGACCACAATATTCATATTTTTCTCTTGTTTCCAGAAAGGTATGCAGTAATCATGTGCAAAGGCTACTTNTGATCGTTGTGTTTAGACCACAATATTCATATTTTTCTCTTGTTTCCAGAAAGGTATGCAGTAATCATGTGCAAAGGCTACTTTGAAAAATGTTACCTTTACATGAGCTAGGATTTTTGAGAATCATTACTTAGGCCCCGTTTGGTATCCATTTTTTTCAAAATGCATTTTTCTCTCTCTTCTTTTCAACCACACATTCGTCTTTAAAATAATATTACACGTAAATCAAAAACTTTTCTTTATTTTTCAACCTCACATTTCCCATCAATTTGCCTTTCCAAAATGCATTTTTACATAAAAATGGCTCACAAACACTCTCTTAAACATCTACTGTTAGAGTGATTTTCTTGTCTACACTGTGAGCAATGGCTGCTGGTGTTTCAAAAATTATACAATGGTAGATGTTTAGTGAAGATGGCAGCAACTAGGGCTAATTCTACTTTACCCTTTTTTTGTCATTATAAATTTACAAACACCGTCTATGTTCATGAAAAATCCCAGGAAGCATTACAAATATAAGTACCTCGGGATCAATATCCTCAAGAACCTTGTTCTTTTCCTCCATCGTGGTATCCCTGGGCTTCCGCCTCCACGGAACTCCCTCCTCATCATCCTCTTCCCTTTTCAGGAAAAGTAAATATTAAATAGATCCCAATGATTCAAAGAATTACACGTAAAACAGCACGTACCCAAGTGAGAGAGTTATATAGAGGCCGTGAATACGGAGACTAAAAGCAGCCGAAGAACATGGGGCTATCTGCAGACTCAGATGTTCAACAGTGACTTCTTTAAAGCAAATTCGAGAGGGGTCATCTACTAATTCATTCAATAACGACGTTTTGAAACTAATATTATTTAGGCTTCCGTTGGAACGGAAGAACCCAAGTTTGAATTCGAGTTCCGGGCTGTCTCTCAGCCATGGCTGTAGAAGAGTTGAAAGTCTCCGTTTAATCAAGTCGTTGAAAAACATCATTTGTTTTCTTTTCACCTTTTCGCAATTCCGTTCTCAAGAAATTGACGGAAGCTTCGCCATTACAAAGGTGGAATTGGGTTTTGATGTAATTGATTTTCGCGGGACGGATGATAAAGAATTGGATTTAGCCGATTTGGCATTGGAGAAATTGCTGAAAGCAGCACGATCGTTCTAGAACTTACTTATCGGTTTGAAGAATATATTTCGCTAGTCACTGAGCTTTCGCCTATGTAACGAGAACGCCATTGAACTTTAATTTGTTTCTCTATGATCGCTGAACCATTAAATGTGAAATTTACGATGGGCATTTTCTGAAATCGAAAACCAGAATCGGCATTCTGGTTTGGTTCCAAAAAGTCCAATGGTTTTATTTATAAAATATTCGAAATTTAATGGATAGTTTCAATTCTTAAAATACTCAAATCGATATTCAAGCAAGAATTTTCATTTTTTTATGGCTATTTGGGAGTGATTTTTTCTTTAAAAAATTAATTTTTTGACCGTTATTTCACTATTTCAATTGTCATATTTGATTTCTTCTCTCATAAGTGAATCCCACTGTTTCACGCGGGTTCGTCGCTAACAATTAAAAAGGGATCAGACGATTGTGTAAGGGACAAACCTCTTAAGACAAAGTCCTAAAAAGGGGTGTTCTTTATTGGCGATGTATTTACAATCGGAAAATAAAAACAGAATGCCTCTAAAGGGCGCAAGCACACGAGTTACTGAAAGAAGTGTTTAAATCTAAACTAAGAAATTTAAAATTACATGTTCTCTATTCGAAAGTTTTTGATTCGGGGTCCTTTGTTCTATATCTTTTCTTCCTTTTATACTCTCTGAATGATCTCTTTGTGATCAACCGCCTAAAAACTGCTTGATCGTTCTATAACTGCCCACTTTTCTCGTAATGGCCAACTTGTCATGGAACTGCCTTTTTTTAACTGCTACCATTACTCTTTGTCGTTCAACCGTTTTCGATTGAATTCCTTGAATCGTGGAACGTGATAGGGCTACTTTAATAATTGCGCTTCTTGATAACCACAACACTTCATGTTTGCTAAGACCTTGGGCGACTCGAAAGTTTGGGAGATAATAGAGTATCAGCTCTGGGCGACTGCATGGCACTCCATTCGCTCAGATCCTGGGCGACTTGCAAACTTGGGCGATGGTGTTCCGCGTTCACGAGCCTCCCTATTTGGGCCTTCTTCCTGAATTGTCTGATTGGGTTTCATTCTTTGGGTCGTTCGATTTGGGCTGAATTTTTATGTGTCAACAATTATCCCCCAATATGACAGAATTAATACCAATTATTAAATTTTGCCATATTCACTTTTGTGTTTTCAGCGACATTTGAAATTTTCAAGAATTTCAATCATTATTTTCTTCCATAGCTTTGAAAAGGTGCGACGTTTTGCAAACCCTTATAATCCCCAAATACGCCATTTCACTGCACCATTAAATCACGCCTCACTTTTTCGAGCTTCTCTCTCACAATTTTATTGTTCATCTCTTTGCTTCCCTTCTACGTAATTCTGAAAAACCCCATTTCGTCCCTAATGGCTACTTCACAATCTCAATCTGATGACTCTTTTAGTTTTGAAGACTTTCAGAAACTCCTTAATCGTCCATACATAACTCCGAACTTTCTCCCACCTGCCAATGTCGAACTCAATGAGTTCTACCTAAGTCCTTTCTTCAACAATGCAGAGGCAGAACAAGCGGGGGTGGGCCAGGTCCATTTCTAAACTCTCTGTCGCTGGGGCCACTTCGCGAAAGAGGTATTCGCACTTGGCCCAAATCTGACGTAGTTTTTCGTAGGTGACATGCTCGCCTTGTGGACCATGGTCCTACTAAGACACTTTTTGATAATGCTAGGATTTCTGATTTGTTAGAAATCTCTCTTCAACCCCCTACTTTTGATTCAGCACTTTTTTCGATCGCTTTAAGTTTTTTGTCTTATGAATATAATACCTTTGTTTTCCCTCTTGGCCCCATTTCTATTACTTTAAGGGATGTTGGGGCCCTAGTGAATCTGCCACCTTTCGGCGATACCATTTTTCCTGGTATCTTGATTTCTGGTGACACCCCAAAGTTTGGTAAAAATCTCACCGAGTCTTATTTAAGCCTGCAAACCCTTCATAACCATTCGAGCGCTGAGCCTTCCCATATTGAGCGAGTGACCTTTCTTCTGGTTTGGCTTTGTAAATATATTTTGTGTGTGCCAAGCATAAAGCCCTCCCTGAGCTATTTACCCATAGTGCACGAATTGGCGCGTGGCAGGCCTCTGAATTTATGTTCTTTCTTTTTGGCTGCCCTCTATAGAGGCATGGTTTTTCTTCAAGCTCAATTGAAGAATGGTGCATCTCCCACTGGCAATAAACCTCTTTGGTTCACTCAAATGTGGTTGAGATCCTATTTTCCATTGCTTGGTGTTCCATCAATTTCTCGTCCTTCTGCTAGCTGCTATGGGCTAGCCATTGAGCCTCTGGCTCCTGTAAATTTGTCTAGAAGTGACATTTTTTCATTTTTTTATTCTTTGAATTCAATCCCTTCCTTCTTTCCTTTTCCTCCCTTTTTGACTCCAGACTATGTGCATCATCCCTCCACTATAGACAGTGCGAGCACCTCTCTGCTCATTTGGATCCAATTTTTAACCGGGAGGGAGTTATTTCATGATATTTTGACTGGGACCAATGCCAAGGCTGGGGTAGAAATATATGCTCCCCAATTTTTTGCTCGCCAATTTAGTTTCGGCCAAACCTGGCATGTTCCTCCTTGCTATTCAAGGAACTTGATAGACCGCTTCCATATTATTAATAAGGCGGAGGCAGAGGTTATAAATACTCGCAATCTTCTTTTGACGAGCCATTTTTCATTAGCCCCCTTCAATTCTAGCCGTGCCATCCATCCCCTTTTTGAACAGCTCTGACCGTCAGTGAAGCGCAGATTGTTTGCGACTGATGCCAATCGTGCCTTTCATTCACTGGACCAGCCGAGCATTTCTTCCCCTCCTCCTTTTTAGTCACACCTTTGTCCGTCCGGAGTCCTTCTCCTCCTCGTCGCTCTAAACAGTCTGCTCATCCATCTTCTTCTCTCCCTGCCAAGCCTACTGCAGCCAAAAGTGCCCCGAGCCGCAAACGGCCAGCCTCAGCATCTTCCATTTTGGAGGATGATGTTGATGATGATGATGATACCCCTCTTATCATCAGGAGGAAGGTAATTAAATTGGTTTACTCACAAGCATACTTTTCCATACTTGAAACTTTTCTATGTTCTGATGGTTTATTTGGACTTCTCAGAAAAGTTCAGCCTCTCCTTTGAAAGCTTTGGTATCAGTAGCTCTTGCTCCATCATCCTCCGCTGAGGCTGTTTCATCCATACCAGCTGATAAAGGGACTACGCTTAAAGAGACATCTTCAGTCCCAGAATCCTCATCACAATCAATGGATAAGCCACCTTCTTCCCAGGGCGTCAACCCCCCAAACCTCGAGGCAGAAGGTAATTCAGTTTTTTGATGCTTTACCTTTGCTTGTACTATTGGTTTCTGATTTGCTGCTTTTGAGTTCTGCAGATGCTCCTACGAGTCTGTCTGTTGTGGCAACATCTTCTCGCTCAGATAAGGGGAAGTCCTCACGAATGGTGGAGCCACAGGTGGCAGACTTGGCTGAGGATATGCCATCTTCCAAGATTATTGATGAGGTAATATTTACTTCACTTTTATTTCCATCTTGTTCGTTGTAGTGAGAATCTTTAATATTGGTAATTTTCTTTGCGGGATGCTGATAAGATTGTGCGTTCCATCCAAGACTTGTTCGCTTCCTGGGGGCAAGTCAAGACATCTCGCCCTGCTCCAGCTGGTCGTCCTGCTACTTCTTCAGAGGAAGATATGAAATTCCTCAAGCAGTCGATATTTGAGTACGTGTCCTTCATGGATATGGACATTGGTAAGGCTAGTGCTGCCAGACATAAGGATAAGCTTGAGCATTTGAATGCGAAGTTGGAGCAAGCACTGACACTTCCGTCGCTCAATCTTTTTGCTGATTTTAAAGCGACGTTGAAAGTTATCCATTCTGAGGTCTTTCCTTGCTGACCAAGAATGTTGAACTGAAGGCCAAAAGTACTCAATATCTTCGTGCCATATCTGAAAAAGAGTCTTTGCGTCAGGAGATCAACAAAGCTGAGGACGAATTGAAAGAAATGTCTTCCGAAATCATGATTGAAGACTCTTTGATGGCTAGTTTGACTGCTCAGATGAAGGAACTTCAAGCCAAAATGGACGACAGCAAAGCGATAATGGCTGCTAAAAAGCGTAACGCCTCCCAGGGAATTGAGCGAACTAAGTCTTTGGTCGAGCAGTACAAGAAGTTGGAAGTTGATGATGATGTCGTGACCGAATTGAACATCACTTCCTCTCGACAGAACGAGAACTGGGAAAAACTTAGGGAAAGAATTCGTTCGGTATGGGGCGGATTGTAATTAAGACATATAACGCCTTAACTTTTTCTTTTTGTAATTTCGCATTTGACTTTCCCTTTGTAATCTTGTTCATCATTAATGAACATCTATGTTAACTTCTTGTGCATTTATTTGACGTTTGTCTTTTAATCGCCAATCCTTCAAGCATTTAACTGCTTTGTGCTAAAAATCTTGCACATTTTCTCTTGATATTTCCACCTCTTTTCCCAAGACTTTGGGCTACTTAATTCCATTTACTAGGCAGAATGTGGCTGCTCATATTCTGTCTCTTCATCTCCACCCCCTATAAATGCACGTATGCTTCTCACTTTTCATCTTCCATCTTCATTTTCATTCTCTTCTTCAAAACCAATTTGCTGCCATTGTTTGGCATTTTGACAATCAATCCAAAACCTTCGTCTTCTATAAAGATGGATTGTTTGGTCCGCTCATTTTACTACTTGTCTTGATGTCACCTTTGGTATGGGAGATATAAGAAATATTTTTTGCCCAGCAGGGAAGTTTTTCCCATCGTCTCTTTGTTCTTTACAAGGGATTTGATGATAGAAGGTAATTTTTTGGATGCTTGCGGGCCACCTTGCTTACTGAGAGTGCTTCTCAACCTCTTTGCCCGCCATTGCAGCGATGCATTTAGGAAGGCGGTGCGAGGCCAGTCCACCCTCTTACTCGACGATCGACAGGGAGATTAGCTTACCTTTAATTGTAGTTTGTAGAGCATCTATTATTTGTATTTTGCATCTTTGTAATGAACGTTTGATAATAAAGGACTTTATTTGAACGTATTCCGCTCTGACCTTGTTATCCTTAATCGTTCAACA